AGGAGTTATGATAACATGTATTTTTATTATATTGACAAAATTATCCTCATTTTTATTTAATAAAATTTTTAATTGTCTTTATTAATATTATACCTTAATTTTTGTCACCTTATTATAATTTCTTCATTTCTTTAATGGCAACTCCATTATTTTTATTATTATTATTCAACTTTTTTCCATGTGTTTTATTCTATTTATTTTTATTTAATATTTTGCTTGTAATAACTTAATTATTTTATAATTTGTTGTATTATATTACATATCAATATATAATTGTAGAATTTAATCTTATAAATATGTTATAGGATTAAATGGATCATCAAGATGAGAAAATGGTTCATATGATCATTGATCATATAATTTGATATAATTTGATTTTATGACGTTTATCAATATTTTATTTTCATTTTAAGATATTTTAGAGTATTTTAAATATTAAATATTTTGTGTTTAATTATCTACGTTTTTTATGAATACTTTTAAAAAAAAAATTATTTAGCATGACTGTTATAATATTTTAAGGGTAAAAAAGTAAATTAGTTTTAAAACCCCTCCCCTCCCCCGGGAACCAAACATATATTTGAATAAAACTTCTCCCTCTCCTCCCCTCCCCCTCTTATGAACCAAACATACGTTTAATTAAAATACATCCCCTCACCTCCCCTCCCCTCCCCTCCCCTTTATTAAAATCCCTCCCCTCCCCTCTCCTCCGTTGAACCAAACGGACTCTTAGGTATTTTTTGGACATCCTATTTTCAACCTCTTTGGTCTTTTGGCATTGTATTGATATTGAGCTTTATGCATAACACCTGTGGGACCTCCTTCGCTTAGAAAACACTCAAACTCAACCGAAAGGTTACTAAAACATAATTTTAAATGAAAATACATTTAATATACCTCTTTCTATAAGGTTAATTAGATTTTTTATTGTTCGTCATATATTAAGCATACTGCCTTAAAAGCTCAAGACACCTTGAGGAAAACTCCCCCTTTCAAAGGAACAAATAACAATCATCAATGGTTAACCAAGGATCACTTGAAATAGAAACTAGATAAACATTATCTGGAGCGATACAATCACCATTGATCCTTAGGCTACAAAATCAGCAGGACCATTTATACTAATGATGATCATCATCAGTGTCAAATAATTAGGTCAGAAACAACTTGGCGAGCACCACCATTGATGCCAAAAACTACCATTTGAGCACTACCATCAGTGAATTTTCACAACTTAATCAATTTTTCGATGGGTACCCCTTTCTCCAAACATGCCCAAAACTCAAATAGACCATTAGTAAAAATAATTTTAAGTGACCAAGCAATAAATAAACCACTTATTTAGAGGGTTAATTAGAGTTTTTCTATTTCTCAACCTAAAAAAATTGACTACCTTAATCCTCAAGTAACTTGAGTAAACTCCATGCTTTTAAGAGAACGATAAAATACTGTAAAAAATCCTTCTTTATGAATCGTTTGACTCGATAGTTGGGTTAAACAATGAAACTAATAAATCCATCACATACTAATCGCCTCAACTTGATAAGAGGTTAAATTATGATCACAAATCATTGTAAATGTTGAGAAGCATCCTTAACAAAATTTATTTGATCACGTTCGTTGAAATACATCATTAGTGACCCGACTTGGATCATTAGTACCAATATCATCAATCGCCATCAGACATAGGTTTTACTTGTATACTCATAAATATATACCTATTAATTTGCACATATTTATTTAAGACACACTAAGGCTTCATTAAAGCTGCAAAGCATCCATGCAAAAAAAAAAAAATCAGGTTTTCACTTTTTGCACCCAATTCTTTTTGGGTCCTTATGCGTTAGTAGTCTAAGAGGTCTAGGATTTTTACCTTTAGACCTTCTTAGCTTATCATAACAAAATGGCTCTATGTGGCTAAGCCTATCACAAAATGAACGTTTATAAATAGGGCGATTCAATTTATTCCTATTAAAGTCTTTGTTGGACGAGAGTATGTTGCTGGGATATTTTATGTGAGCAAGCCTCTTTCTTCCTTTGCTTTGGAACGAGGCCTGTTATCTTAATCCATCCAGAGGGAGTATACAATGGTCTAGAGGGGGTGAATAAACCTCCCAATTAAAACCGTAGTTGAAAATCGAAAAACATTTTATCAAAGTTTGAAAAATAAAATTATTTGTGTGGCGGAAGCCGTTTTTTGTGTATAAAGAGATTATGCTTATATATTGGAATTTTCACATAATGACTTAACTGATAAACAATACAACAATGATCAAATAAACAAATCAACCAAAATGAACAAATCAATGTAATGTATTACATTTATATCAAAACTATACAAGATGTGTATTTGTACAATACCAATACTATATGTAGATTATATGATCATATTTTACAATTTAATCACCAACAAGACAAATTCGAAGTTCTAATTCTAACAAAACATACACTTAGCAAATAAATCGCTACCAAGGAAAACCTAATAGCATACAATTCTATGAAAGTGATAAAAACAACCTAACATGCAATTTTTACGAAATTAAAAGTGAGATATATATATATATATATATATATATATATATATATATATATATATATATAGATAGATAGATAGATAGATAGATAGATAGATAGATAGATAGATAGATAGATAGATAGATAGATAGATAGAGAGAGAGAGAGAGAGAGAAAGAAATGTCATTGAGATTTATAGTGGTTCAACTATCATCCTCGCTAAGCTTAATCCACTCTTCGATCCCTTGAATCTTCAATCCCTAACAACCCCGCTCCAAAAACTTTGTTTTGCAGCGATATTTCCTCGATCCTACTGGTATCTTGAGTGTTGGTATGATTGAAGATTAAGAATAACTCCCACCTTGTTTGTATGCTTCCACACAACACTACCAAGATGAACTTGGAGAAAAGAACCTCTTTATTTTTCACCAGAATTGTAAAAACCATCCACAAAACCACGCACCTTGCGAACCTCTGAAATCTTAAGCAAATCTTTACAAAAATATTAACCTCAACAATATAATCTCCTCGACAATTACAAATCTCCAAAGATGATATTTAGGTCCATGTGAAAATGAAATTAGAATGAGGTAAAAGATAAAAGAAATCGTTTGCAAGTATTCAAGAAAGATTTAAAATTCTTTTTGAAAATGAGAGAACAAGTGAGTTGTGAGTTTTCAAATCAATATTGGAGGTGTATATTTTGTTAACATTGTTGAAGGTTTTGAGAGAAAATGGTATTTTTATGTGCCCGAGATCTAGCACAAAAATGAGTTAAAATAGTGTATGATTCGAGTCATAAGCAAGAGGTATTATTTGAGTCAGATAACCAAGTGATTTGAACCAAGAAGCGAGAACATATGAAAACCCATATGTGTGATTCAAGCCACACTGTTTGTGTTTCGAATCACGTGATTCGGATCGTGAATATATATGATTGGAGTTAGAGTTCCATTAGTAAAATGGAAATGTTTTAGTTCAGTGTGATTCAAGTCAAACAATTTGTGATTCGAGTCACACAATATGTGATTCAAGTCAGAAAGTTTGTGACTCGAATCATGAAAATATGAAATGAGTCTTTTAGCTCCATGGAGGTCTGATTTGAGATTAGATGAATAGTGTGATTTGAGTCACACTAAAAGAACCTCAAAATTTTAAGTTTTCAAAAGCTTTTTGAGATTTTACCATAGCCATGACTTGAAACATTTTCACACATAGTTATTGATCCCAAAACTTAATAGATTAATGACTCAAAGCATATTACTTAAACTTGACCATACAATTTGCTTAAACACGAATTTAAAAATCAATTCAGAGTTGTGCAATTAATGAGAAGACTCGATGACAAAAAAAACCAAACTAAAAGCTTAAAAGACAAGCAATCAAAACTATAATCCTCGAGGTATCATGCAACTTCAATTTTTACTATGTGATCTACTTGTCTTAAAGTCTAGTCAAGTTTTATTAAAGGAAAACCTTTGATTTGATAAAATTAAATCTATGTTTACTTTCGCTTTAGTAAAATTACTTAGAATTTTATGCAGATCTTTCACTTTCTTTTTCAAGAACACAAGTCTCACATTTACTAGATTGATTTTTAAGATTAGACATTCATATCTTAGTGTTTCATTGTTATTCTCTAAAAACTCAATGTAGTCTTTAAAATCTTAGTTACGATTTTTAATCTTATAATGTTCCTCGATTAACTTAGCATTCAATTTAAACAATTATTTATATGATAAAGTTATTACCTTACAACTATCTTTTTTGTCCGAGAAGCTTTCAAGCAAACTTGTTCTTCTTTTATTTTTTAAATATTTTTAAATTAAACTATATATATATATATATATATATATATATATATATATATATATATATATATATATATATATATATATATATATATATATATATATATTAGTATTTTTAATATATATATAAATAAATAAATAAATATATATATATATATATATATATATATATATATATATATATATATATATATATTTATATATATATATATATATTAAAAATACTAATAATAGATAGTTTAAAAATAATTAACTTTTTATTTCATAATAGTGATAAAATTAAATATTAAAAAATAGTGATTGTTAGAGTGTAATAATTTATTATTTGAGAGACTTAATAACTTAATTTTAGTATCAAATAGCACACTTTCAATGAAATAAAAAAACCATTAATAAGTAGATGGATTTGAAACAGATTTAGAAAGTGTAACCCCTGAAACGTGAAAACAAGGCATGCGTTTTCACATCCAATAGGAAACTCGATGGCGTATCATAAACCAATCAAAACACTCCACGTGGCACAACCTCCCATATTACATAACTTGGCGCCCTCTTGACACTTTACCACTTCATTCATTCATCCATCCTCCGATCTTCACCGCTCCGGTTCTTTGATTCCAGTTCACGTAAAAAAACTGAAAAAGAAAAACCGAACCGTAAAATCTCGGTGCTCTGATGGAAGCTCACGGCGGAGGTCTCCGCCGCGTCCTGGTGCTAGCCTTCTGCGTTGCCGGAATCTGGTCGGCGTATATCTACCAAGGCATTCTTCAGGAAACACTGTAAGATTTTCACTTCCTGTAATCGCTTCTCGATCTCTGTAATCGATTTCATCACTCATACTGAAAAATAGTTGTGAATTTTGAAATTGAAGTAGTTATTGATTTTTCTTTGATTTGGCTTTCAGGTCAACGAAACGATTCGGTCCAGACGGTGAGAGATTTGAACACCTAGCAGTTTTGAACTTGGCGCAGAATGTAGTGTGTTTAATCTGGTCATTTATAAGTGAGATTCTTATTCTATAATACTAATTAATCCTAATTGTAAGATTATTAAAAATGTGCTTTAATCATAATATATGAATCAAGAACACCAGAAACAAATACAGACACTGACACGTCCACACCGATAGTATTTGAAAAAAAACATAAATTAAACATAATCACAAGTGTCAATGTAGATTTCGGACACTGATCCTGAGGTGTCTGTTACATAGATCATAACTATCTCAATTAAATTCTTGTTATTATTTATGTATAGTGATACAGGTGTGGGGTGGTGGAATTTCTGGTGGTGCTCCTTGGTGGTCTTATTGGAGTGCTGGTATTACTAACACCATTGGTCCTGCTATGGGAATTGAAGCTTTGAAGTATATTAGTTACCCTGCTCAGGCATGAATTCTGCCTCTGTTTCTTCCTCTGTTAATTGTGATTCCCTTTTTAAAAAACTATGTTTGATTTAGTTAATGTGGTGTAGGATTTGTAAATATTGTTTGAGTTTGACTTTAAGATATTATAACTTGAATTGGTATTGTGTTGAAAACCAATGGAATGTCAAAAACGTGGTACGAGATTAAAATAAAAAAGGAAAAAAATTATAAAGAAATGCATTTCCATTAGGAGTTCCTATTGAGTCATAAGAGCTAAAAATTGGTCCTTGGTTTCAACATCAAAGTTGGTACGGCACATGTAAGGACCAGGGTTTTATGCATGTCTAGTAGTGAACCTTGATATTATTTAGAATCAAGGTCAAATGTGGTTGAAGCAGCCTAAACTGCAGTCACATTGTCGTTATGACAATATAAAAAACAGTTATCGGCCTATTCCGACAATATAAAAAAGGTTATTGGCCTGTTCTGCAGTTAGAGACCTTTATTTAAACCCGGAAGGATCTTTCCTATATAAAGAATTGCTCCTGATAGTTGCTTGTTTATCTTAACTAATAAAAATTAATGAAAAGTATAAAGACTTAGTAAAATGTGGGAGTCATTTGAATCTTTAAATGGTTGTTATTTGAGGAAGAACATGATAAGTGCTTAAAGTTGATGTAGCCTAAATAAGACCCATCAAAATGAGTTAAGCTACTCTATCTTGGTTGCACCATTACAGACTGCTCTAAAGCACAAACTAGCAACACATCGTGTGTACCGGTTGAAACATTTGTAGTTGCTCATTCTGCATGCAGCAGTATTTTTATTTGCCTTATTGTTTAAATGTTATGAGCATAAGACTATGAGCTTTTCTTAAGGGGTGTTCTTTTTACTACGTGCAGGTGCTGGCAAAGTCCTCAAAAATGATTCCAGGTCAGTACATTGTGCTTGATTATTCTATTTTAATTTGATACAATTGAAAATTAGCCGAGCTTTTAATTTATTTACTTAGTTGTCTTGCATTTTTTATTGAATAATGTAGTTATTTTAGGTGCTTAAGCACTTCAATATTTTTCACTACTATATTTTGGTTTAAGGGGAATTTAGGGTAACTTCTAGATGAAATTCATTTTCTCAAGTTTGGGGAGCCAATGAATGTGGAACTTCAGAATTTAAGCAAAACATGGGCTAGTCTTATGGTTATGTATTCTGAGACCTCTGAACTTCGTGTCCTTGTACCTGTGGGCAAATGTTATTTTGCTTTTGACTTCATAATACAACTTTGATTTGTGTCTTAAATTTATATTTAGCATGCACCCTTTCCTCCATTTTCACATGAGGGTGGGTTGAAAATAATTGCGACCATTATTGTTTAGTCTTTTGGGTGTCTTTAATGGAGGATTTTATAGCTGGTTCTGATGCATAAACATTTCATAGAAGTTGATGATAGAAAAGTTTATATTCAATTTGTATCCTCAGACTATGTGAACCAGAACCACTCTCAAATGTTAACAAATAATTCACTTTAATGCAGTTATGCTGATGGGTTCACTCGTATATGGTATAAGATACACCATTCCAGAATACCTTTGCACCTTCCTTGTTGCTGGAGGGGTTTCAACATTTGCACTTCTAAAGGTTAGGAACTTCTCAGTATAACAGACCTCACCTATCTTTTTGTCTAAATTCTCACTGTCGTTGAATACTGCCCATCTTTATTTATTTATTTATTTATGCATTATAGACTAGCTCAAAGACTATCAACAAGCTAGCACATCCAAATGCTCCACTTGGATATGGGCTGTGTTTCTTGAACCTTGCTTTTGATGGATTTACTAATGCAACCCAGGATTCCTTAAAAGCTAGGTAATACTGGAGAAGCTTTTTTCTCTTTTTGATTTGGCGTACAACAATTCTTATCTTTTTAAAGCATGTAAAACTACAGTACTTATGCTCTCATGTGTTAAACTTGATTTCCTCTTTATGGGATGACATCAAAGAAATTATCATTTCATTGAAGTCGTAATCTGTGCAATATAAATGAAGAGTACCTAATCACTGAACAGAGTGTTTTTGAAATTTTGTATTTGTTTAAGGTGTTGTCTTTTAATCCAGCTATGCAGTAAGTAATGCTGTTATCATTAGTTAATTCTCATTAGATGCAGTTATCTGAGATAAGTTCAATATTGGCCGCTAAAAAACTAAAACCCAAATCTACTGGCTTACAATTTCAGTCTTTCTCAGTAAGGTTATTGGCTGTTGATGTTGGTCCTTTACAACTATCTATTATGATAATTTGCTGGATAGTTTGATAGTTAAGTCACAAACAATACTAAATATGATTTATCATGCTCCCCTCTCATGATTTTTGCTTATAGGAAAAATCTCATTGCTTGTTTTGGCCCTCACATATCAATTGTTTGAGTCTCCATTTCACGGGTGTTTGAATGTAGCCATCTCAAATTTCAACATTGTTAGGTTTTCTTTGCTTCAAATGATTCTTTGAACAACCTAAATATTCATTGGTCCTAATGTTTACTCTTTTCAAAATAATGATTTGCCTTACACAGGTACCCGAAAACAAGTGCTTGGGGTATTATGTTGGGCATGAATTTATGGGGAACCATATACAATATGATTTACATGTTTGCATGGCCCAGTGGCAGTGGATATGAGGCGGTTCACTTTTGCAAACAGCATCCAGAGGCAGCATGGGATATTTTTCTGTATTGCTGCTGTGGTGCTGTGGGACAGAATTTTATCTTCTTGACCATAAGCCGGTTTGGCTCCTTGGCTAACACCACCATCACTACCACTCGCAAATTCGTTAGCATTGTGGTATCTTCACTATTGAGTGGGAATCCCCTTTCAACTAAGCAATGGGGGTGTGTTTCTATGGTATTCTCTGGATTATCATACCAGATCTACCTCAAGTGGCAGAAGTTGAAGAGATTGCAGAAGAAAAAGAAAGCCACGTGAAGCTCTGCATCAATTTTGAAGTCCAATATCGATTCTATTTTAGCTAAACCTCGAAGATTCAACGAACCAATTTTAGGTTTATATACAAAGGAATATTAAAATTAGCTAATGTAATTGTAATTTGTAATTGAATAGATCCTTTTGAGAAGTGATAAAGTTTAGGTCCCATTTTCTTATTCATTGTGGTAATTTATTAGTTGCCCGTGCTTTGTATGAACAGCTAGTTTTAATCTTAATAGCATACAAAAAAAGCTATATTCTATGTAAACATGATTTTCAGATCATCTCATCTTTTGTTGTTTATTTTAGATTATCCCAATACTGTATGAGTTACAACTTACAAAAGAAGCTTAAGCAGTATTATGAGCATGAAAAGTATATTTCTAAAATTGTTTGCACTAGCTTGCTTTCAGATTTTGTTTTGTTGTTTCAAATTGATGCTCTGTTCTGTTTATTTTACTTCAATTAAGGCTTACAATCAAAATGCAAGAACTTCTGGCTGTAAAAATGTATATTAAGGTGATGGAGAAGTCTGTTTATATTTCTTTTCTTATACAAAATTAGCTAACCATAATTGTTCAGGATATTTTATTAAACCAGTAGATTCTGTTTGTGATTCTCTATTTGCAGCAGATGGCTCAACATAAAGTGTGTTACGCGCGAGAATAAGAATTGATTGGTGATCGATGTATGTGGATTGCAACAGTGGCCTTGAGCTTCCGGTGCAGTGGAAAAGGAGCCGATCTACAAGGTTAGCACTAAAATACTCAAATTGGTATGAGTAAAATGAGTGAATGAAGTTTGGATTCAAAAGTACCTAAAAAATGACGCATTTTCCTCTTATATAGCAGTGCGGTTATACCTGCATGCTAATCTCTTGGCATGGAATGTGGTGATCCATTTGATCGATCATGGATCAAAATCACTTGCATATTGACTAGAATAGCCTACCTGCGTCACATATGATGTGCGGTGGATTGTTCAACTCTTTGGGTTGTGATTATTGGACCTTTTAGCCTGTTTAGGTGGATTATTCAACTCTATGGATCGTAATTATTGGACCTTTTGGCCTGTTCAACTCTCTGGGCCATAGTTATTGGACCTTTTGGCCAGCTCAGAACAAAGTGGATTTGACAGCAAGTTGGGAAAAAAAGCAAAGCAAAGGGAAAGAGAGAGGATTCTGTGGTTAAATGAAATCCGAGTGGTTGGATCTCCATGAACAATCTGACTTTATAAAGGTGGGGGACATGTCTGTTGTTTAGAAGAATAATATTTTATGTACTAATTTTAAAGTTGTAACTACAGTATCAATTTCACTGTATATTCCCCCAAAAATCCATAATTAAATAGCATTATTCAACATAAATTAGTTTTAATCACTTAAAAATAAAAACCATTTAAGATTTGACCAGCTTATCTATTTAGGCAAGACCTACTACTCTCAAATGAGTGGAAATTATGAGGTCAAATTAGTCAAAGTGCACCTTCCATTTAGAAAGTTAACAGCTAACTAATGTGCTTTATTTTGTAGGAAGTTCCCTCTCTCTTTTTACTAATTGCTTTTGCCAATAGTCATTATTATGTCTTCTGTCTTCCACCACAACCACCATCTATGAACTAATCATTCTACTAAACAAAAATGCAGTTCCTTCACAATTGTTCTTCTGCAAAGCATAGTTCAAAATAACACTGTGCCTAAGAGCTGAGAGAAGGAAAAGAGTGAGAAATGTTTGCATGCATGCTTCTGTCAGATCAGACTCTGAGGTTTGTTATACTGTTCACAACTTCTGCAGTCTCCATATTTCTTGTCCAGTGTTTTTCTTTCTGGTATGAAAATGAAGCTCATATAGTTGAAATATGTGTGTTTTGTAATTTTGTGTAGCTTTGAGTGATGTTATTTGGCAATTTTCTCTTGAAATTTACTTTCATACTCTGAGAAAAGAAGTATGAGTTCATGCCTGTTTCTTTCCATGCTGAGAAATCCTTGCTCTTACTTTTCTTTTCTTTTTCTTTGTTGAGCTAATCATGTTTTTATTCTCTAAAAATACTCTATAATCAAGTTTAGTTCATACAAAAAACTTTCATCCATGTTTAGTATCAAATTTTGTGACTTCAGAGACTAAAAGGAGATGAAAACTTTCATCAAAATCACTAAATTGAAAACTAAGCATCAATATAAGTGTCTGCAGGAACTAAACTTCATCAAAAATCACTAAATTGAAAACTAAGCATCAATATAAGTGTCTGCAGGAACTAAACTTGTTAAGAGGTTATCTTACATGGAATTAAGTTATAATTATAATTAACACTTTGTAGTGAGATAATTCTGTTTTGCCCAAAAGAAGGTAAATCGAAGGGAAGCAAGACAAGCCGGGCCGAGTACGTAGCAGGCACCATATATCGCCCAAGGCTGGGTTCTGGTCGCCCATCTATCACCCCCTTACGAAATATGGGGATTGACGTGTCCTTAGACACTAACGGGAGAAAAGTTCAGCCAAAGGAGAAGACGCGTTCTCCAGGAAATTAGGGGGAATAACAGTTTTCACGCTCTTGAGTAGAGTGGGATAACTACCCCTGGGTCTAAGAATCCAGACCCAATAGACTTCTATAAATACCTCAAACCACGGGTTTGAAAGGGAACATTCAATTCACCCAAAAACCATACTAATATAGAGTCTCTCACATCCCATTACCTGTGTGAGCTCGCTCTAACACCACAACAACCATAAAGCCCTTAGACAGCCGTGCACAATGAGGGGTTGTCACTCATTATACTTTTAGCGATTACACCTTCATTGTTTGAAGAATTGTACAGAATAAAGATATAGAATAGAGTTAGATATAAGAGAAACAACTTCTGCATTTTGCACACCAAAGCCAAAATGCATTTCCACTCAAATTATAAATATGTTTCAGTACATCTGAATCAAAAAAGGAAAAGCATTATTTATTCTATAACCTAACCTATGCACACCCAAAAACAACAAATAGGAATCATATTTGCCACTGGCTAATTTTTTACACTCTTTTTCTTCTTCTATCTATGTCTCTCTGTTCATTATATGTAGTAGGATCGGCGAATTGCCAATGTATACAAACACTCAAGATGACACAACTAGTATCATGCAGCAGGCTCTGTACAAAACAAAAAACAAACCAAGACCAAATGCTGGATCGGAGAAAAACAAACCCAGAAAGATGTCAAAGAAGAAAACAAACTAAAGAATGACACACTAAAGCACACTAACTTTCGGTGCAAGTATCTACGGGGAGGAAAAAGACACTGTTAAATATGTTGAAAGTCCTCAGAATGTACCTAACATTCTAAGGGAAAAAGATGAGCCTATCAAAATTTTAGGCTGAACAAAATTTGCAATCTTTCTCAAACCAGGATGAGAAGGACTAGCATGCGAGATGGTCGCAGGTGAGGAAAAGCGAAGGATTTAGAAAAGATAAAAGACAAATGATTTTTTTTTTCTTTTCAGATTATTAACTTTGTAGGAGGGCTCTTTTGCAGAGTGGCGGTTGCGAGGGGTTCGCGATTGGGTCGAGGGATGGAGAGTCCATTCCAAGTGTTTTCATAAGGAAGTTCCTCTCCTGAAAAGGAAAATAAAGAAGTGTCAGGCTTATAGGATTAGAGTTCAAAATCTGATAAAATAGAAAATATTAACATGATAACTAATATAATGCTCGGTGTAAGGTGTAAAAATGAATTAATTGAATGTAATCACATGTGCCGGTGTCGTGTGGAACACAAGTTGAACACCATACACGTCTCTGTTCAGAGGTGTCGGTGTTATAGAGCATGTTATTACTAGTATATTCATAATACTTATTGCTATTACTGCTATAATCTCACTGTTGAATTTAGTTATTTAATCTCCAAAGTGCTTGTGTAACTTACACTTTCTGAAAATTGTGGACTTGGAATTGCTGCAGTTAAGGATCTGAACATAGGGGTAACTTGAAGAGGAGAACTAAACTCTGCAGTTGATAGGGATGAAACGATGCCAATGCCATCATTGTTTATATGTTCCTCACAAGATGTGAATATATCTGTTACAAAAAGATAAATATCTAATTAGCAATTTTGATAAATGTAAAAACTGAAAACGGGTCGAACCACAATAAATGTAAAAAATCTGAAAACCGGTTGAACCAACTCTGGTTCAACCAGATTGCAATATAACTAGGATGAAATCGATTGATGGACTGGCCGATTCCTAGTTCCACCAGTGCGTTCGGTATTGATATTTTTTATCATTGGATTTGATTATAATATTACCTTGATTCATAGTTGCGCTAGAAAGAACCACTTGATCACATACTCCATCTCCCTTTTGATCTCCAATTTGTATTGAATTCAGTTCAGTTCCATTATCTTGATGTAGCGAGTGTTCCAAATTCTCAGCAGCAGAATGAGGCAGAATAGTTGATCCTTCAGAACTGCTTGGAGAGTCTTCATATAATTCCATGTACCTATTATAGATTCAGAAGCTATTAGATATTGCATAAATATCCCTCATGAAAGTTATTATATTTTCAAATTCTGCGAGCTTAAAGTACCTCCAACATGGTTGAATTTCCTCATTACTATTCTTTAAGTCTTCCAATAAGTCTTTAAGATCTACAAGCTGTAAATCGGGAATCTTATATCCAGGAACATCTGATTCTTTGTTTCTGTTCATAAACTCTTGAAGAATCTGGCATCAATATACAGGTGTTAGAACTTATATGGAAAAAGTCTATGAATAATCCCTGCAGATATCAGCTATGTATGAGCTGATCAAAGCAAAGTTAAGCTTTTCAATATTTGATTATATGATAGCAAGCTGATCTTGAGCCATTAAAAGTTTGAAATATTTTCATGATTTTCAAGCAGATTGGTTTGAAACATCAAAAGTTGATTTCATTTTTTTTTTGTTGAACTTTCTTCTTGACATATATTGCATACTTTGGTTTTTTGTTTTTGAATGCAACAACACAATTGGATTTCGATTTGAAAGAAGACCATGTGATGTTCAAAAATAAAAAAACGAGAGCAAGTTGGGAAACTATCAAGCCTCACCTTCCATGCATTTTCAAGACTTTGGTCCATGTTGTCTGCATCAACTTTTAGAGCCAATGATGTTAGAAGCTCGGCTTGTTGCATCAATGCGTTTATCTTTGGATCATCCTTTTTAAGGAATGTTCCTTGAATCTTGTTGTTTGGAGCTACAAAAGAACGAGAAATCGAGAGTTACATTATAATGATGATACCATGGCCAAAGTTATTTCTGGCATAATAAATTAGGTGCCGTTTCGTTTATTTCCTGTTTAGTTACTGAATGTATCAAAATTACAAAAATATATCCTTATGTGCCTTTTGTTAGTAACTTTGGTCATCGATGGTGTCTTTCATTAGTTACTTCTGAATGCACTTGTTATTCAATTTGATCCATAAAGTCACTAACAAAAGACACACTTAGGTTGTTTTTGTAATATTGACACATTCGGGGACCAATATGATTGTTTACTTGTTTCTCAGTCTGGATTTCAGAACTGCAAGGATTAAGTTTCATGATTAAACTTTTTGAGTAGAGATTTACCGAAGCCACCGAACTTCACATTGCAGACATCATTTGGGTCAGGCAAGTTGTTGATATTATGAGAGTTTTGAGCTAAAACTGCCAATGGTGCTCTTGAAGCTTCGTTTTGTTTATGTGATCTTTCTGCATCATCGGGGATATGTGACCTCCTGTATTCCAAGTGCATGATGACATGTTAACACTTCTTCATAGAATTTATTAACATATTATGATCTGTAATAGCTTAACATACCTCATTTTCTTGTAATCTACTGCAGAATCTGATGCTGCATCTCGGTAAATAACCCTTTTGTTATTCGAATTCGTGTACGAAATGTTGTTCTCTTTTGCTAAGGCTTCATATTTAGCTCTCTTTTTGCACAATGTGGAGAAACGGTTTTTCACAGCGTTATCCGTTCTGTATACAAAACAATGAACCATTCCAATTAGAATAACTGACGCAAAAAAAAGAGTCTATTTGGTATTTTGTGAAGAGAATAATGAATTTTCTTTACCTTCCTGAAACCACCTTTGCTATTTCTGTCCACCTATTGCCAAATATTTTTTGTGCCTATAGAGATAACAGCAAGAAGTTAGTTTTGGTTGTAACCTAATCTTAGTTGTGTAGATTTTGATGCAAAACTGTTGGAAAAACAATTCTAGCTCAAAAGAGAACAGATACGAAAAACGCAAACACATAACACACGGAACTTGATCACAGAGTTCGGTCAATTGTACTCACGTTTCTAATTGCAATACGGCTGCAGTACCTTTCTATTATTCAAACTTAGAATTCAAAATTTACAAGTTGTGTTTAAATACTTCGGTCAAGTTTTCACTGGTACTAGCACTGAATCATGGATTGAAATCAAACCAAAACAAACCACATAGAGGGAAAAGACAGAAAGAAAGAAAAAAAGATGAAGTTTATATTTAAAAGTTATATCATTAAGCTTGTTAAACTCCAAAGACAAGTGATTGACGAGCTTCTGTTCGAATCGATTGAGAGTAACCAAAGTTGATCTGACCAGAACAATCTTTAGTTAGATTTTACTTTTCTCCCAGTCGAACATCGAATCACCAAGCTGGAGGGTCAAGACCAAAAAAAACTCATATGGCAACTACATGATTATGAAAGTGAAGCTTTGGAACATAGGGAACGAATCTTTACCTCACATAAGAGCATATCTTCATCTGGTGACCAACCTCCTTTCTTGAAATCAGAATTCAAATAAGTGTACCATCTGATTGATGATAAATAATATAAGTTACTTATTCATCAGATAGCGAATCACGATGAAACAAAAGCCATCAAAATAAAAATATCTTGAATGAATCATGATCAAAAAATTCAAAAACTTCACCTTCTTCTGCACTGTCTTGTTGTTTTATCATTGAACTTAGAAGCAATTATCGCCCAACTGCATTAAGTTATTGAAATCAAAATCACTTTTAGACTTACATCATCATGAAAACTAGTAGTAAAGAAGAATAACCAAAAGGGTATTTGTGTTTATAAGTACTTTTCAGTTCCATGAATTCCAATTTGATCTCTCAATATATCATCCTCCTGCAAAGAAGCATAAACTAAATTCAATAGAAGAATCTATATAAATAGATTATTAATTTATAGTATATGGTAAGAGAAGAAGAACCTCTTGAGTCCACGTGACAATGTGACGCTCCTTCTTCTTAGATTCTTCATTCACAAGCTGCTTCTGCTTCTGATTCTGCAGCTTCTTCATATCTTGCATGATTTTGTTAATGTTATTATTCTTCTCTCTTTCTTAAACGCTCCTTCCTTTTTTACAAGGAGCCAAGTTGCATGCTAAAGCCAAACACTCTTCCTTTATAATAATACTAGGATAATAACTTTTTGTAATTTTTTTTGTTACATAAAACTTAAAAATTAAAAAACAAACAAAAAAGGAACAAACCCTTGTTCTTTCTCTTTCATTCACCTTTTAAAACCTCACTGTTTTTTTATAGTTTCAAAACGGGATCCGTAATAAGCATAAATTCCATTCTCAAAAGCCACCTTAACAAACAAAAAGCTATTCAATTTATGAAGTAAAAAAGTTCAAGAATTTGCTTTGGATTCTTAACTTTTCAGAAAAACACACTCACTATTCTCCTACCCTCTGTCACCAAAACAGAACAAAAACAGAACAATGTTTAATGTTCAAATTAAGGAACCAAGGATGAGAAATAGAAAAAGGGTAATCAAGAATACATACAAGGGTTCGTAAAGGGTACATGGGTTGGAATCAAAATCGTATTTTTTTGTGTATTTAGATCTAAAATTAAGCAACTTTGAGAAAAGAAAAAAAAAAAACCAAACGAGAAAAAGTTGTGATGAAATAGACAAATACCTCGAATATGAAGGGATACTACGTTTGAGATTCCTCAAGTCTGTGTGTGAAAAACACTGATATGTTTGGTTTTTTGTTATTTTCTCTCTCAAACTTTTTGTGAAAACGGTCACATAGTTAGAAAAACTAGGTAGGGACAAGAACAATGAATATAAAAATGAATAGTAGATGATTGTGGTAGTGCGCGGGTATGAGGAGAAGTTTGAATATAACACTGAATTTTATGAGCTACGTGCAGTGTTGTCCACTAAAGACTATGATAATGTTTTGTTGCAAATTGCAATACAACACTATATACGAATTCATGTCTTTATATATACACACACTAATGATGTTTTTTTGAGAGCTGAAAAATGGTTTGAAATTGTTGGAATTTTAAGATAACATGAGAAGGTACGTGAGCTAAAAACACAGCTTGGTGTCACGAAGGAACATGTGTGTTGAAATTAAATGGTTCGTGACTTCATGTGCTTCATTTGTCATGTTAAAGGTACTGTTCTGTTTTTACCATTTGGGTTTTACAATGTTGGTGAGTTTTTGAATTTTTTACTATTGATGTGTGAGTTTCCTTTGTTCCTCGAGATTTGACAGATACGTTTCTCAATTAATATAGTGTGAAAATTTGAATGCTCTGTTTTTATATTAGTCTAACATCTTGGAAATGTAAGTAACGTTTTTTTTATGTGGTGAATTTTTTAAACAAAAAACAAACTAATAGTACTTATTTATTGAAAATTGATAGTAATGTTTTAAAGATCGGACTGATCATCAAATTAGTGAGAATACTAGGTCACTCGTTTATTTGTTAAATCACTGAGTTACTGACCAAACTGTATGATTAAATCGAGTTTAATCGGATAACTCGGTTGAACAAACCGGTATGAATAACTAAATTATATAATTATTAAATCAGTCGAACTAGATGACATGTCTCAAAAAATTACGACGTTTACAAAATTTTAAAATAACATAATTTTATAAGTTTATTTTTTAAATTCAAATTCTAAACATAATCAGTACACACAACAAAATAACACAAAATACAAATTCGAATAAATTTTAAACAAAATCTAACTGCAACATAACATAAGTTGAATAACAAAATTATTTTAATGACCAATAAATTTAATTTTAAGGAGGAAAAGTTATTCCAATTAAGTTTGAAACAAAATCTATTTATATTTTAAGAATAATATTAACTTGTGCTCTGAGAGCACGTGTTAAAAACTCACAAATAGAAAATTAGTATTGAAAAAAAATATATTATTAAGTATAAATTTGCATTAAATTCAACACATAATTTCCAATGAATTTTTACTATATTTATCTCTTAACAAACAAGTTATCAAAACGGCGTTGTTTTGTATGAGGAAAAAAAGAAAAGATTTAACCTGTCGGTTTTCTAAAATCTTCGATTCACTTTTTAACCGGTTCTCATTGGTTCAATAGTCTATCCAATTCAACAATCAGACCAGATTAATGACCCATCTGGTTTACGATTCGGTCCGACTTTTAAACCACTAATTGATAGAGTTCATTGATTATGAGCAATATAAATTCTTTTAAAAATATATGAAACTGAGAAATGTTTGGTTATGAACTAGACATGAAAGGTGAGGTAATGAAGTTATGTCTTGTTACGGTAAATTTGTACTTCCGATGCGGTGAAGAGACTGTCATGCAAGATTAGGACTCTAAGGCACAAGTCAGTGAGAGAAACTAGAAGTAATGTGCGAGTGAAAATAGATTTGAATAATTAAAATGACGTGTCTTACACTTATATACTAAGAGTGGTTGAAAATACTCGCGTGTGATGCATCATGCTATGAAGATAATCGTCAGATTAGATCAGCCGGTGATTGAAATGCTAGAAGGCAGAATTCCCTACTTTTGATTAAAGTGAAGGTCTATCTACTCTTGCATGCCTTTCGACTTGAGATTCGCTATTGGGCCTTTCTCTATGGGCCTAGAAAACTACATATAACATTTGCCCCAAGCCCTTATTTTATTCTATAGAATAACGACTTTGTATCGTACATCTTTAGGTCAGCTGTTTAGTATATTTATGTGAAAAGTCTTGATAAGATGTCATTAGCATTGAAAATAGATGCATTAAACGTCTCTCTCTTAATTGATGACATTTTGCATGGAAACTATGATGTGTGTCCCTACGTCTAATGATAATAATGTTCCCTTAGTCTTAAGATACTTGAGTATCATGAATAGTTTCCGATGAGATCTTGATCGTTGGTAGTAATGTTTGCACTTTCAAATATGGTAGATCACACAGTTCACTATTTTGGATATGCATATAAGAAGCTTCTAGACCATTAATCTTCTTTTCTTTCACTACTTGTGGATTTTTTAGAAACTCTTATTCTTCTTCATTTCCGATTTCTTCATTTTGTTGCCAGTTTCTCGCACATTCATTCATCCTCTACCAGCTCGTACCTCATTTTCCAACGTGTGAGTTCCCGAGTTTGCTTCTTTTAAGGTAATGCCTAGATTCCACTTTTTTCCATCTTGCTTTCTTAATTAAGATTTATGGAGAAGAATGTCAAAGGGGTTTATGTGAGTAAATAATGCGCCTAAGAGGGGGGTGGATTAGGTTCTTTGAAACTTTCTGGTTTAAAGAGGGCTATGTTACTTTCTTTTTAATGAAGTGATGATTTGAAAGCTAGTAAGGGCAGAAAGTAAAAGAGACACAGAGAGTTATAGTGGTTCCCCTCACACCCCGAGGGTACTCCACTCCCTTTTCAACACGAAAGAGATTTCACTATAGTTAGGATCAATGTACAATTTGGTCTAACCTATAGGAGATCAAAGGTTCTTAAAACACCTTTAAGATCTAAACACTAAGTGCAATGAGAACAATCCTCTCTAATACACACACTTGCTTTCAACAATCCTGAACAACAAGGGGAAACTAAAATACAATTTTGAGTTTGTAAGATTTGTAACAATGTATAATTGATAATCAATGCTGAGATTGAATCTTCTCTTTCAATGGAATTTCCACAAGTATCTAAGACTTATTGCTCAAGAATTTTCTTTTCAAAAGATATGAAATTGATGCAGAAAATTCTTTGTGAAAATTTGTTTAAAGAAAATGTTCAAGAGTTTTTGATTGAAAGAGATTTTAAAGAATTGATGTAAAAGTTTTTTTTGAATTTTGAAAAGCTAGGTATTTATATTACATAAATATCTCTTGATGAAATCATGCAAATCTTCAGAAAAATTGATGAACAGTTGTTATGTTTCAAAGGAAACATTTAACAGACATTTGAATGAAGAGATGCAATTTTTCAGAAGGATTTTTCAAAAACGTTCAGTGAGCAATAGATTGCACCAAGGCAGCAATCGATTGCACTTCATAACAGAAGTGAAAACTGAGTATTTTTTTAAGCATGCAATCGATTGCACTAAGGCAGCAATCGATTGCACTTCAAAACAGAAACAAAAAATAGTTAAAAATTTGATCATGCAATCGATTGCTCTAAGAGTGCAATCGATTGCACTTTGAAAAACTTAGAAAAATTTTGTTTTCAAAAGCTTGTGAGAGTGTAACAAGTCATGAGAAATGTTTTAAAAGATTTGAGCAATTAGGACTTAAATGCTTAATGGATATTCTCATTATACCTTCAGATGAGAACATCTTCAAAGTTGTATCTTTGTCCTGATGCTTGATGGTTGATCATCTTTGCCTTCTTGAGTGATTTGTCTTCATCAAAACAAATGTTGATCTCTGAGAATCTTGATTTCATAGTTTATAGAGGAGATATTATTGATTTAGTGGCTTATTTAACACACATTTTAATAGGTATACTAGACTTGCAAATGAACTTGCCCCATGTTGCTATTTTTACTCACTTTTTTATACGCCTAAGGCATTTGTGATAGTATCCTTGACTTGTTGCAACATGTTATGATCGCAAGGAAAAGAAAGTTTAATGAAGATTTATTTATTCTTTACTAGGAGAAACTTATACATTACATTAGCATGTGCATTTTCCATATGCAGCAAATTAAATTTAACCAAGCGGCATAGTCGCTGCTTATTACACACTGGGGGCATTGATAAGGAATGTGGTAGTCGGCTTCAACTTTCATTTGGAGTTTTCACCAATAATGTTTTGGTTAAAAATAATTTGTTTTACCTGTTGGTACCTTGATTCCATTTTTTTTAACTGCATAATGATGGAGGCTACATTGACCTCCATAACTTTTCCCTTGTCCTTCTTTTATACACGCTGCAGAGCTTTATGTATCCTCCTTTCTCCAGATAAGTTGGTGCATATTGTCAGCGACTCATTGTGGATATTGTGATAGTTCATCTTGAGATGGACTGGGGAGGCTACTACGTCTAAATTTATGCAAAAGGC